ATTATTAATCTTACTTTTTCGGTCATATTTAATAATATATGTATCAGGAAAGACTGCTACCAAATATACTAATATATATATATATATATATGTATATATATATCTATATATATATATATATATATATATATATATATATATATTATTAAATATGACCGAAAAAGTATGATTATAATTCTAACACGAATTTTCTCAATCTTTCGTACATTTCGCTTCACTGTTGGAGGTAATCAAAAATCAATTCTCCAAAATTCATTTTTATTTCTAGTCTGACGCGACACGAGCGCGTTTCGTAAAACTTATTACATTTTCAAAGACTTTAGTTCACAAATACACAACTGAATAGAACTTACGCATCTCCGATTTTATATCTACATTTGAGTGAGGTGGAAGGGGTGATGTGGCATTAACACAAGACAGAACAAGATGTGGTATTAATAGGGTATTAATTTCATCAACACAAGACAGAACAAGAGTATTAATAGGGTATTAATTTCATCAACACAAGACAGAACACGAAACAATGGATATTGAATAGAAGTGTTTGTAGAAAGCCTATTGGTCCATATTTCTTGATGCTTCTATATTGGAGCGGAGTCTTGAGGTGGGTAGAATATAGTTGTGCAATAATTGGCTGTTGATTGCTGGTGTTGACTTCTTGATGTATAGTGCCTCGCAAACGTCAAGCCGCCTGCTATCGCTGTATCTTCGAGAGATACAGCGATATATTGAGAAAATTTGTGTTAGAAATATTAATCTTACTTTTTCGGTCATATTTAATAATATATATATATATATATATATTATATATATATATATATATATATATATATATATATATATATATATATATATATATATATATATATATATATATATATATATATACGTATATGCTATCTGTACCCGGCCACGCGTTGGCCGTGTACTGCTAGTATATATTCCTTTCCTCTACAACCTTCTCTGTCCTCCCCCCCCCCCCCCCACACATTTCTCCCCTCACCCATCTCCTCAGCCTCCCAACCATTCCCCACTCCACCTTCCCCCTCATCCTCCCCACAATTCCCCACTCACCCATCCAAACTTCCTTCCCACCATGCCCCGCTCCCCATTCCCTTTGGCCTACCTACCACTCTCCATTCACCCATCCCCTCATCCCCACCATCCCAAATTCCCCCGTCCCCTCGTCCTTCCCCACCATTAGCCCCCCCCCCTGCCTTGTCCCCTCGTCCTCCCCACCATCTCTTGCTTCGGTCCCCTCGTCATCCCCACCATTCCCCACTCCCTCGTCCGATGCCTTCCCAAATGGTCTGATTTTCCCACAAAAAAATTGGGAACATCAAGTGATCTGATGTTCCCATCACTGAAATTAACGAAAAACAGGTAAAAATTAAATGAAAATATGAAATAGTACCAAAATAAACTATACTCACGAAATGAGCAACACAGCTCAATTCCAACACAATTCACACAAAATAATTAAACAAAATGAAAATAAATCAAAATCTCTGAAAATTCAATTTATCAATGCAGTCAAAAACATTGAAATGGAATTGTAACATATTTAGTATAGCATGTGTGTTCCTCATACATGCAACAGATGGAGCTGTTTTTCAAGAAATGCATATTATTACCTACAACAAGTGTGGCATCTATACCTATACCTACAAAATGAACGGTATGGTAAACAACACAGCTCAATTCCAAAACAATGTCACACAAAATAATTCAAAAAAAAAAAAATCGAAATCTATGAAAATAAAATTTATCAATGCAATCGGAAACAATCATGCTTGTTGCTATTATGTGCAACAGATGACGCTGTTTTTCAAAAACGCATGTTTTTACCTGTCACAAAAGTGGCATCTAAATAGTAAGTATATATAAAGACGCGCATAATTGAATGGCACGTTGTGTCAGAATCTCAAAGCAATCGGTGAATAACTTTGGGAGATTTCATCGTGTGTTGCTCTTACATGCAACAGATGGCGATGTTTTAAAAAAAAAACATGTTTTCTCCTGTCACAGGTAAGGCATATATATAGAAAGTATATAGAAACATGCACCTGTTTGAATGCAACGTCGTGTCACTATTTTTAAAGCAATCGGTAAACAGGTTTCGAAGATTTCTCTCACATGAAAAACACAGTTTTTCAAAAAAAGCATGTTTTTTTCCGTCACAGACGTGACATCAATATAATATGTATATAAAAACCTGCTCGGATGCGAGTGTAGCGTTGTGTGAAATTTTCAAAGCAATCGATGAAGAACTTTCGGAGATTGGCAATTTTGAACAATCGAAAATTTCCATTTTTATTTATATAGATTTTGGTAGCAGTCTTTCTTGTAAACATTTGTTGTTGAATATGACCGAAAGAGTAAGATTAATGATCCTAACACGAATCTTCTCAATATTTCTTATGTTTTTCTTCACTGTCAGGGGTAATTGAAATATTAACTCACCAAAGTTAATTTTCTCCTTTTTTATTTATAGTATGACGCCTAAAGGTGTTTCGCAAGGGCTTTTTACATTTTCAAAGACAGGTTTACACATGTCGTATATTATGCTTAGAGTTTTTTTTTGTGAGGTGATATGACACAAATATTTTTGGGTGAGCTGACAGAAAACGAATCATGGGTATAAATTGGATCTGAAAACATGAGAATGAAAGTAACTACAGAAGGCCTATTGGCCCATATTTTGTCTTGCTGCTTCTATTTTGGTTTTGGGTCTTGTAAGGGGTAGAAAATAGTTATGCATTTATTGGCTGTTGATTGCTGGTGTTGACTTTTTGATGTGTAGAGACTCACTTATGTCGAGTCTCCTGCAATTGCTGTATCTATCGATAATTTTTGTGTTGCTTGTTAAGATTTCTCTAGTGATGGTCTGGTTGTTAGAAGAGGTTATGTTTCTTGATGGAGCCTGTTGTTTGAGCATTGTTAATTGCCTAGAAAGAGACGTTGTTGTCTTGCCTATATACTGAGATCTTTTTATATATACCCAATTTATACCCATTGATTCGTGTTCTGTCACCTCACCCAAAAACATTTGTGTCATATCACCTCACCCAAAACGAATATAAGTATGATATGATATGTGTAAACCTGTCTATGAAAATGTAAGAAGCCCTTGAAAAACCCTTTTAGCCGTTAGACCATAAATAAAAAAATGAGAAAATGAACTTTGGAGAGTTAATATTTCAATTACCCCCGACAGTAAAGAAAAACGTAAGAAATATTGAGAAGATTCGTGTTAGAATCATTAATCTTACCTTTTCGGTCATATGCAACAATATATATATATATATATATATATATATATATATATATATATATATATATATATATATATATATATATATATATATATATATACATATATATATATACATATATATATATATACATATATATATATATATATATATATATATATATATATATATATATATATATATATATATATATATATATATATATATATATATATATATATATATATATATACATATATATATACATATGTATAAATATATATATATATATATATATATATATATATATATATATATATATATATATATATATATATATATATATAATATATATATATATATATATATATATATATATATATATATATATATATATATATATATATATATATATATATATATATATATATATATATGACAATGTCAGACCACGGAGGAAAATGAAACAGGAATTTCCTTAAGGACTTTCGTATATTAAATACATCTTCAGAAGGAATACATCTTCATTCCTTCTGAAGATGTATTTAATATACGAAAGTATTTAAGGAAATTCCTGTTTCATTTTCCTCCGTGGTCTGACATTGTCACATTCTTAATCACGTGTTTATTTTCGTGATATACACACACACACACACACACACATATATATATATATATATATATATATATATATATATATATATATATATATATATATATATATATATATATATATATATGTCGTACCTAGTAGCCAGAACGCACTTCTCTGCCTACTATGCAAGGCCGGATTTGCCTAATAAGCCAAGTTTTCAGGAATTAATTGTTTTTCGACTACCTAACCTACCTAACCTAACCTAACATTTTCGGCTACCTAACCTAACCTAACCTATAAAGATAGGTTAGGTTAGGTTAGGTAGGGTTGGTTAGGTTCGGTCATATAACTACGTTAATTTTAACTCCAATAAAAAAAATTTACCTCATACATAATTAAATGGGTAGCTTTATCATTTCATTAGAAAAAAATTAGAGAAAATATATTATTTCAGGAAACTTGGCTTATTAGGCAAATCGGGCCTTGCATAGTAGGCTGAGAAGTGCGTTCTGGCTACTAGGTACGACATATATATATATATATATATATATATATATATATATATATATATATATATATATATATATATATATATATATATATATATATATATATATATATATATGTCGTACCTAGTAGCCAGAACGCACTTCTCAGCCTACTATGCATGGCCCGATTTGCCTAATAAGCCAAGTTTTCATGAATTAATATATTTTCTCAAATATTTTTCTTATGAAAAGATAAAGCTACCCATTTCATTATGTATGAGGTCATTTTTTTTTATTGGAGTTAAAACTAACGTAGATATATGACCGAACCTAACCAACCCTACCTAACCTAACGTAACCAATCTCTATAGGTTAGCTTAGGTTAGGTAGCCTAAAAAGTTAGGTTAGGTTAGGTTAGGTAGGTTAGGTAGTCGAAAAGCAATTAATTCCTGAAAACTTGGCTTATTAGGCAAATCGTGCCTTGCATAGTAGGCTGACAAGTGCGTTCTGGCTACTAGGTACGACATATATATATATATATATATATATATATATATATATATATATATATATATATATATATATATATATATATATATATATATATATATATATATATATATATATATATATATATATATAAATGTGTATGTGTGTGTGTAGATGCTGGTGGGGTGGTGGCTTGTGTTCTGTCTGGTCATCACAACTGGTTACCGCTCATCACTGGTCGCTCACATGACCATCCAAGGCAAGACCCACCCCATCGAGACCTTCGTGGACCTGGCGAAGCAACATAACTGGAAGTGGGGCATTGAGCCCTGGCTTCTTAAAGGGGTACCATTTGACTACTTCTCCAAGCATCCTGTCCCTGTTATACAGCATATTTACAAGAATATGGAGGTAAGGTCCAATTATGATATTTTTATAATTCCTATGATATGCTAGTATGCCTATGCATGTAAGACATACATTGCCCTATTATTATTATCATATTATTATTTCATATTATTATCATAATTAAATATGCAATATCCATAACAACTTATAGAACTAAACAACCATATGCCTATCACACACACACATATATATTATTTGTATTGACCAAACCACACATTAGAAATTGAAGATACGACGACGTTTCAGTCCGTCCTGGACCATTACGAAGTCGATAGTGTTGAGTCAAGGTTGTTATTGTTTTTGTTGTAGATTCAGCTACTGGAAACTTTATGTTCCAAGTAGCACGGGCTATGGTGAGCCCGTAGTGGACTTACCTGGCACAGGAGCGAGGCTGTAACTTGAGAGGGAGACAAGATTTGATTGATTGATTGATGAAGATTAAGCCACCCAAAAGGTGGCACGGGCATGAATAGCCCGTAAGTGGTGGCCCTTTTAAGCCATTACCAGTATCAAGAGCTAATACTGGAGATCTGTGGAGGTGCGAATGCACCCTGCGTGACGGGAGATGTCTCCCTTGTGAATGTGTTAAGATGAAGATGAAGCCACCGAAAAGGTGGCAGGGCATGAATAGCCCGTAAGTGGTGGGAGACAAGGGAGGCAAGGGCATTAAGTAGTCAAGAGAGAAGTGAGGCGATGGAAATCTTAGAAGAAGATAGGAGCAAGGCAAAAGTTGCGGAAGGTATGGTGTAATGATAGGAATAAGAAAGGGATCGTAAGAGAAAACAAGAGAAAGAAAAAGAAAGATGAAAGAAATGGTAGGCTTGTATTAGATCACGTTTGTTAGAAAGTTTAGAACATTTGAGTATGTACCGTAAAAGGGAAGAATCAACAGCAATAAAGCCAGGACTCAGGTTCATGTTGGGCTGTGTATCAGAGCCGATGCGACAAGACGGCATCTGTGTAAAGTAGACGCAGGAAAGATTATTTTAGAGGAACACCAATCAGTAGGATCACTAGAATCCCTAACATGACAGAGGAGAACATTGTTTGTGTCCGCATAATTAACACTTCTTAATTAACACAAACCAAATGTATTAGAAAGACTCCTTGAGGAGTCTTTCTGATACATATATATATATATATATATATATATATATATATATATATATATATATATATATATATATATATATATATATATATATATATATATATATATATATATATATATATATATATATGGATATAACGTGACAGTTTATACCCAGATTTAGGAGAGTGACTTGGTCCTCAGTTAGGTTGATTCCAGCAAGGTTCAGGAAGCCGTCTCTTGGTCGTGGAATCGCCTAACAACATTATATGGAGGACCTATGGCGATTCCACGACCAAGAGACGGCTTCCTGAACCTTGCAGGAATCAACCTCACTGAGGACCAAGTCGCTCTCCTAAATCTGGGTATAAACTGTCACGTTATGTCCAGACCAAGTGAGATGGCCCGGAAAGTGGAGTTGGAGATCCTGTTGGACGACATATTCGACCTCGAGGCACAAAAGAAGGTCACCACCAAAGACACCTTACAAGCAGAACTTATTGCAGAAGGAGGAAAGATTCGAGGCAACTACAGAAGCACCATACTGTCCCCCGAGCTCAAAGCGGCAGCCAGGAGCCTTCGTGAGAACAAGGAGATAGTCGTCAGGAGAGGTGACAAGTCGCCAATATTAAAAAATAAATACCAGTCGCCATTCTTAAAAAAGACGAATATCTGGCGAAAATGAACCTCATACTCTCTGACCAAACTAAATTCCAAAGGGTAACGAAGGACACTACAGCCGAATTGAAAGCAAAGGTTAACAGATTGATCGAAACTGTGAACGCCAAGAAATCCGGACTCCACCTGCCAAAGATTATTGGGGAATACAAACCTGGGTATGCGTGTGGAAATCTCAAGACACACAAGCCTGGAAACCCACTTTGGCCAATCATCAGCCAGATGCCCAGTCCCACGTACAGACTGGCAAAGCGACTCAACGGCTTGCTGACCCCTTATGTCCCTTGCGCCTTCAGCCTGAAGTCTCCAAAGGAATTTGTTAACTTACAGCAGGGAACACTGGCCGCAGGGATAAAAGCCTAGTTGGACGTAGAATCACTGTTTACCACCGTACCTGTGGATGAAACAATCGGGATGATAGCAGACAGAGTGTATCGTGATCCGGCCTGTACTCCTCTTGACATACCAGAAAACATTCTAAGGAAACTACTCCAATCTTGTACCAAAAGGCACCCTTCTTGAGCCCGGATGGGCACATGTATGAGCAAGTAGATGGGGTCGCCATGGATTCTCCCCTAGGTGTCCTGTTTGCGAACTTCTACATGGGTACCATCGAACAGGTCTTAGTCGACATGAACTTGAAACCGGCCATATACTGCCGGTATGTTGACGACATTTTTACACAGGTACCTGATGTCAGACATCTGCAGGAGCTAAAAGAGGCATTCTGTGTTGCATTTCACTTACAAGATAGAGAAGGATGGGAAGCTGCCCTTTCTAGATGTAACGGTCATGGAAAGGAGCGGAGGTTTCCACACTGTAGTCTACACTAAGGAAACTAACATAGGAATGTGCCTAAATGCCAACAGTGACTGGCCAGACAGATACAAGAGGAGCGTTGTTAACGCTTATGTCGACCGTGCTCTCAGCCACAGCTCAGGATGGAAGCAAGTCGATGAAGAACTCTGTAGGGTAAGGTAGGTCCAAGTCAACAACGGCTTCTCCAATGGTTTCATTGAAGACATCATAAGAAGGAATGTGAAATGCCATGCAACTTCTGAAGAGACAACTAACACAACACCTTTACCCCCTATTAGACTATTTTACAGGAACTTCTTTTCCACAGCTCATAAAACGGAGGAAAGGGTCCTGGAAGATATTGTTGATAGGAACGTTATCCCTACAGACAAAAATCAGAAGATACAATTGACGACTTACTATAAAACCTCAAAAACGGCAAACCTACTCATGAGAAACTCTCCAGACACAAAGCAGAACGCTTTAGAAGAGACCAACGTCGTCTTTGCCTTCAAATGCTTACTTGGGGACTGTAAGTCTCAAAGAACTCAGTATATAGGCAAGACAACAACATCTCTTTCCAGGCGATTAACGATGCTTAAGCAACAGGGCTCCATTAAGGAACATATAATCTCTTCCCACAACCAGACCATCACCAGAGAAATCTTAACAAACAACAAAGAAATCATCGATAGATACAGCGATAGCAGGCGGCTTGACATCTGCGAGGCACTACACATCAAGAAGTCAACATTAGCAATCAACAGCCAATTAATGGCCAACTATATTCTACCCACTTCACGACTCCGCACCAATGTAGAAGCATCAAGAAATATGGGCCAATAGGCCCTTTGCAGTTACTTCCATCCTTCCCTTTAATTTTCCCAATTTATGCCCATTGTTCCGTGTTCTATCTAGCGTTGAAAGTTTTGTTCACCTCATCCAAATTTGTTGTATCATATCACCTCACCCAAATGCGGGTATATAAGATGAAAGCTGTTTAAATGATAGCATAGATCTCTGTTTAGTGTTTACAGGTTATAGTTGTGTGTGTGTAAACTAAAGTCTTTAAAAATGTAATATGTTATTACGAAATGCGTTTAAGTGTCGCGTCAGACTAGAAATAAAAATGAATTTTGGAGAACTGATTTTTCAATTACCATCGACAGTGAAAAGAAACATAAGAAATAGTGAGAAAATTCGTGTTAGAATTATTAATCTTACTTTTTCGGTCATATTTAATAATATATATATATATATATATATATATATATATATATATATATATATATATATATATATATATATATATATATATATATATATATATATATATATATATATATATATATATATATATATATATATATATATATATATATATATATATATATATATATATATATATATATATATATATATATATATATATTATATATATATATATATATATATATATACATATGTACATATATATATATATATATATATATATATATATGTATATATATATATATATATATATATATATATATATATATATATATATATATATTTGAGTGAGGTGGGAAGGGTGATGTGGCATTACATTTGAGTGAGGTGGGAAGGGAGATGTGGCATTAACACAAGACAGAACACAAGGGGATATTAATAGGGTATTAAAAGTATCAACACAAGACAGAACAGAAACAATGGGTATTGAATAGAAGTGTTTGTAGAAAGCCTATTGGTCCATATTTCTTGATGCTTCTATATTGGAGCGGAGTCTTGAGGTGGGTAGAATATAGTTGTGCAATAATTGGCTGTTGATTGCTGGTGTTGACTTCTTGATGTGTAGTGCCTCGCAAACGTCAAGCCGCCTGCTATCGCTGTATCTATCGATGATTTCTGTGTTGTTTACTAGGATTTCTCTGGCGATGGTTTGGTTATGGGAAGAGATTATATGTTCCTTAATGGAGCCCTGTTGTTTATGCATCGTTAAACGCCTAGAAAGAGATGTTGTTGTCTTGCCTATATACTGGGTTTTTTGGAGCTTACAGTCCCCAAGTGGGCATTTGAAATGCCCACTTGGGGACTGTAAGCTCCAAAAAACCCAGTATATAGGCAAGACAACAACATCTCTTTCTAGGCATTTAACGATGCATAAGCAACAGGGCTCCATTAAGGAACATATAATCTCTGCCCATAACCAAACCATCGCCAGAGAAATCCTAGTAAACAACACAGAAATCATCGATAGATACAGCGATAGCAGGCGGCTTGACGTTTGCGAGGCACTACACATCAAGAAGTCAACACCAGCAATCAACAGCCAATTATTGCACAACTATATTCTACCCACCTCAAGACTCCGCTCCAATATAGAAGCATCAAGAAATATGGACCAATAGGCTTTCTACAAACACTTCTATTCAATACCCATTGTTTCTGTTCTGTC